TTTCTTTCTTTCTTTCTTTCTTTCTTTCTTTCTTTCTTTCTTTCTTTAAGATTTATTTATTTTATATATGTGAGTACACTGTTGCTGTTCTCAGACACACCAGAAGAGGGCATTCAGAACCCATTACAGATGGTTGTGAGCCACCATGTGGTTGCTGGGAATTGAACTCAGGTCTTCTGGAAGAGCAGTCAGTGCTCTTAACCGCAGAGCCACCTCTCCAGCCCTCAGCTAGCTTTCCTATTCAGTCTAGCCAGTTGGTTTTTGGTTCTCAACCTCTCGGTTGCAACTCCCTGGAAAACCTCTATCTTCAAAAATATTTACATTACAGTTCATAACAGTAGCAAAATTAAGTTATGAAGTGGCAAAAAAATAATTTTATGGTTGGCGGTCTCCATAACATGGGGAACTGTATTAAAAGGGTCTCAGCATTAGGAAGGTTGGGAACTACTGACCTGTCAGATCAGGAATGGCACCACCCACAGTTGGCTTGGCCCTCTCTCATCAATTAGTATGTTAGTTTGGGGTTCCATTGCTGTGAAGAGACACCATGACCAGGACTACATTTAATTGGGGCTGGCTTACAGGTTCAGGAGTTCGGTCCATTATCATTAGGGCAGGAAGCATGGCCGTGTCCAGGTAGCCATGGTGCTGGAGAAAGAGCTGAGAGTTCTACATCTTGATCTGATTGCAGCTAGGAGAGGACTAACTCTGCCAGACTTGAGCATATATATATATATGTATGTATATATATATATATATATTCTCAAAGCCTATCCCCACAGTGACACACTTCCACTAACAAGGCTACATCTCCTCCTCCAATAAGGCCACATTTCCTAACAGTGTCACTTCCCATGGGTAAAGCATAGTCAAACCATCAAAATTAGCAATCAAGAAAATGCCCAACAGACATGATCACAGGCCAATTAGGTCCTCAATTGAGGTTTCCTTCTCAGGAATGTCAAGTTGATGACTGAAGGTATTATAAGGAAGAACCAGCTTGCTCCTAGTGGCCCACAACAAACCCCTTAGAGCTCTAGCTTTTCATATGATGTTTTAAATCTCAAGAATGGGAGAAACACAAGGCTTCCTGGTCTATGTAACTTAGTAGTAACCAGGGTCAATTCCTACCTTTGCCAATTACACATTATTAGTGATTCCTTTGAGTCAGAGAATTTCAGGAATTCTAAATATACTAGAGAGAGGGAGAGGGAGAGGGAGAGGGAGAGGGAGAGGGAGAGAGAGAGGGAGAGGGAGATAATGAAAACCAGCAACAAACAAAGCAAACAAAGAGACAAACAAAAGACACATCAAAACCATCTGCTCTAGAAATGATAGTCTTGAGGCTTCTGGAACTAATTTTTGATGTTTCATGGGTCGTCAGCAGCACGTCCCCTACTCTTCGCCAAAAAAGAAACTCCTTATTTGTAATAACCTAGATTCTGGTTTTCAGGACTTTTTGATTCAGGTAAGGGAGGATTCTCAAATGACAGTTTAAACCCAGATCCAGCAGAGACATCAAATTTGAGCTATGACCAGTGGAAAAGCATTTTTTCACCTGTGAAGCACCCTTTTGAATGTAGCAGGTCAGTCCACAGGTGGAAAGAAGCTTGGATTCCTTCTACTTTGGGGTTTCTCTTATTTAGATGGAAAAAAAGAGACGCCAGTCATTTGAGTACTCACAAAGGCAAAACAGGGGTGGGGCGTGGCAGAGGCCGGTGCCCAAGGACACAGGGGGCGGGGCCGGAGGGGGCGGGGCCAGGTGGAACGGTCCCTCTAGTTCTCAGCAGCTTTCCCTCCCTCACTTGGGCGGAGCTTCTTATTCGCCTGACCTCGGAAGAAAGGGGGCGGGCCCTTTGGGGCGGAAGTCGCAGTGCATTGTGGGCTCGCCGGGAGCCGCGGAGTCGAACCTGAATGAAAGTGGCGCGCCGCTGAGGACCCGGGAGGAGCTGCTGTCGTTGGGGTCCGGGCTGGCTTGCTAAGGAGCTGTCGGCGAGGGGGCGTAGACATGGCTTATAACAAGATCCCGCCGCGGTGGTTGAACTGTCCGCGACGCGGCCAGCCGGTGGCAGGTACCCGGGAGGGGGCTGCGGGAGGGTTCGAATCCCGCTGCGCCGGCCGGGCCTGGGGAACCGCGCGCTTGGTGGTCGCCAGTCGGGGCTCCCGCAAGGTGGAGGAGTGAGGACGGGAGGTGGACAAGAGGTTTCTGGAGCTTAAAGTTTGTGAACCTCTTTGTGATATTTTTGAGACTGGGTCTCGCTGCTTTGGTGAGACTTGTCCTCAAGAGCGTGAGCCTTCAAATTGAGGAAAGCTTAAAGAGAAGTGAGGTTGGGAAGCGGGAGATTTTTGGTTTTGTTATTAAATTTACTTTAGCCGAATGTTGCCATCTTGAGTTTGACATAGAGTAGCATCATCCCCGAACTTGCGAGCTTCTTTCTCAAGTTTCCAGAGTGCCTGGGATTATAGGCCCGTGTCACTGCTTGGCTGACAGTGACTTAAAAGTGTACAGTTTGATATATTTGGACCACACACATATATTACAGGGAATACACACGAAATAACTGAGGCATAGTTCTCTGAATTTGTGGAGACATCGCACATGGTAACCTTAAAGGACCAGACTCCACAGTTACCAGCAAACGGATTAGATAGCAATTAGGAACTTTGTCGGCTGGACCTAGGAGCCAAAAGCATTTTTTGATAAAATTGAGGAAGGAATACACGAACTGTTTACACTGGATTTACTCATCTATAGAGTAATTATCAGGCAGCTGTTTGCAAAGGTCTGCCAAGCCTCCTTATCGGAGTTCTAACTCAGACTTAATCGTTTCCTTTCCCTCTTTCTAGCAGTTTGAACACCAGACAAAACAGAATGAGCTGTGGCTCTCCATTGAGGAGCTGGTACCCACGCTCTCTTAGAAGCCCACATCCTTGCTTTCTGGTTGTCTTTATTCTGAGTGACTCTCTTTTTCTTAACTCTTGAGCTAAAATCTATATATTAAACTATAACTGTTTTTTTTTTTTAAAGTTGTGCTTGGTAACATAAGGCAGGAAGTTTTAGGATGGTGCTTATGTGAAGATTTCAGTACATATAGGAAAAAACAGTTGTATTATGGGTCAGGATGTAGTGGTAAATGGGTATCTTTTCTGGTATCAAATGGCATTTGTAATTAAATTTAGGGAGTCTCAGAATTTTGGCCACCTTCAAAATTTCCTGTCTCCCCCCCCATTATATATGTTGCTTTGCTTAAGTTACATGGAAAAGGTAACACTTATATGAACACTTGTACCCCTTTCCTGAATTTCATGTCAGGAAATTCCAGTCAACACCAATTACGTGGTGACAGATAAATGAGGGTGGTGGTGGCGTTCTAAGACTGACAAGGACCCAAGGGCTCTGGTGCTACAGTTCATCTCCAGACCAGGTCGTGCTAACACCAAGTCATGGCCAAGTGAAAAGGCTAGCTTTAAACTTGAGTTTTAGGAGCTTGAGAGTTGTCTCAGTGCTGCTGTTTCAGAGAACATGAGTTCAGTTCCCAGTACCCACAAAGAGTGGCTCACAATCACCTGCAACTCCAGTTCCAGGACATCTGATTCCCTCTTCTGGCTTCTTCCGGTACCTGCACACATGTGGCCTATACTCATAATTATCACATGCACACATACACATAAACTTCAAAAGGAAATTTAAACATGAAACCCATATACATTTAAATCTCATGCTCTTGGTATAAGTTCCATCCAGTTTACCTAAAACACTTCACTTTAATATACAATTTTTTTTAATTTAACCCATTGTGTAGCTGCCTAGAGACTGTTTCAACATGTAGACATAGGGAAAATATGACAGCTTCCACATAATAGTCTTTTTGTACACTGTTGTATGAAACTTCTGTAATCCTTTCTTTCCCAGACAGCTGTTTTCTGTCATTGATGGCATACATTTTTTAATAAATGCAAACATCATGTATTCACTTTGTGTATGTGTGTATGGATGGTCTTGTACTCACTTTGTGTGTGTTTGTATGGCTGGCCTTGAACTATGGCCAATGGAGTTTGAGGATCACCTTTAACTCCTGCTTCTGCTTCTGAGATGTTGGGAACAAATACGCCTCCCTTTCTCTAGAAACCCACTTTTTAAAGGGAGTTTGAGTTGGTAGAGTAGCTCCTTACATTTGTCTACTCCATTCTGTAGTTTGCCTTTTCATTCTAACAGTTCACATTTGTTGGGTGTGGTGGGCAGACTAATGCCAGCATAGGGAGGCAGAGGCGGGTGAATCTAGTGAGTTTGAGGCCAGCCTGGTTTAGGTAGTGGGTTCCAGCCAGCTGGGGCTGCATAATGATACCCTTCCTCAAAATTAGAAAAAGAAAAAGTGAAAGTTTTAAGTTTTAATTAGCTTTCAACTTACTGTTTCTTTTTAATGGTGGAAAGATTTTATGTGTATATATTAAACACATAGTTTGCAGTTTTGCCTACCAGTGTATGAAATTGTTAGAAGCAGAGATACTGTACTTGTTCATGTTGATTCTTCTATTTTATATTTTGTAAGCATTCTGTAAGATTTCATATGAAATCCTCAGTCAATGAAGCTATATAAACAATTAATAAAGGTGATTTGAACGACTTTAAGCAGAGATGGTGGCTTATCTGGGATGTGTAATTCCAGCATTTAGCATTGGTGTGAGTTCAAGGCCGGTCTGGGATACAGAGTAAGGCTCTGTTTCAAAGGGGGAAAAAGTTTAATTTAAAGTCAAGTATGGTAACATACACCTCTAATTCTAGCATTTAGGAGGCAGAGGCAGGGCCATTCTGGGTTACATAGGGAGACCCTGTCTGAAAAATAAGAAACCTGTAAAGAAATTCAATCCCTTCAATAAAAGACAAAGATAATTTAAGCAAGTTGTAGTGCGAGGAAATTTAAAAAAACAAACCTTTCTTATTCTCAGCATACTTTTATGTATTTTCTGTTATAATGATGTTTTTTGATAGTTGTATTGTCTTCAGTCAAGTTGATCATTCTATTGTGAATCTTTTAAGAAATATTTATTTACTTAGTGATGTTGGGATTGAATTTAGAGTCTCACACATGCTAGTCTATTACACTACTGATTTGTATTCCTGTCCTTTGTGTGTGTGTGTATGTATTTCTCTCTCTCTGGATGTGTGTGTGTGTGCGCGCATGTGTGCAGTGTGTATGTATATATGTATGTATGTGTCTGTGTGTGATGGACATGTGTAAGTTCTGTGCTCAGAGGCTAGAGGAAGTAATGTCTTTGAGAAAGGGTCTCTCTTTCTGCACTTGGAGTTAGGTTGGGGTCCAGCAAGTCCCAGGGGCCCTTTGTTTTACTTTCCCTCAGCATTATGATACCACACCTGAGTTTTTGAAAATGTGAGTTCTAGGGAGTTGAACTAAGGCTCTTATGGATGTACAACAAGGATTCTTATCTGCTGAGCCATTTCCCCAACCTGAGCCTTTTTTGTTGTTTTGGCGTGAGGATCTTGGTCCAGATTAGCTTTGAATTTGTGAATTCTTTTTTTTTTTTTAAATTGAGACAAGGTTTTGTGACACAGGCTGTACCCATCTTGAAATCTTTTTAAGAATTGACTAGTTAATTGTACACTAATTATTGTGTGTGTTCATGATGTGTGTGTGTGTACATGTATGTGCCAAAGTGTCCATATAGTGGTAGCAGGACAGCTTTCCGTCAGTTCTCTCCTTCTACCTATGCGACCCTGGAATTGAACTCCGTTCTCTAGGCTTGCTCAGCAAATGCCATGACATGCAGACCATCCCTCCAGGCCCAAATCATCATCTTTTAAAAATATTTTTTAATTTATTCTTTGACAGTTTCATTCTTGTATGTAATGTATTTTGACCATATTCCCCCTTTACCTCCCCCGTCTTATCCCCCATCCACTCCCTCTGAAACCCTTTTCTCAAACACTTTGTATGTAACCTCTTGAATTTGCCTTCTATGTGTTGGAGTTACTTATCTGTTCATTAATTTCTTTACATTGTTTAATGTGTGTGTATGCATGTGCACATATCTACACTTGGACACGTATATGGAGGTCAGAGTACAACTTTTGAAGAGTTGGTTCTCTCCTTTCATGTGGAAATGAATTTTACCTAGGAATTGAATTTAGTTTGTCAGGTTACATTTTATTTAGTTAATTTATCATTAATGAATTAATGAATTGATCAATTTTTGAGGCAGGCTCTTATTTAGTCTAAGCTGTCATGAACTTGCTGTGTAGCTCAGACTCACAGTCTTTCTGCCACAGCCTCCTACTAGCTGGGATGACAGACATGTTCCAATATACCTTTCTCATGTTCTTGATTTCTTTCCATAGTTTTCCTTTTCTTTTTATGATTATAAAAGTAATTTCTTTTATTCTATGATTTGTGAATATTTTTCTTTTACTGATATATATTGTATAAAGTAATGGGCTACCTCATGGAGGCTTGGCTAACAGCGGACTTGTGAGTGATCCTTCTGCCTCTTACCTCTCAAGTTCTAGGATAAATGGTGTCCACCATTTTGCTTATTATGTGATGTTCTTTTGTAATAATGTACTTTAATCATCATGTTCACTGGCCTGCTACTCTGTCTTGTCTCCCCCTGTCTTAGACATTCCCACGTCTACTTTTATGTTATTTTTTTTCAAATCTAGATTTGCATATTATAAAAAACATTTTGGATTTGAACACCTGTTATCTGCAAGAGCTGCAAGTACTTGTAATTCCTGAGCTGTTTCTCTAGCCTGATCTCACTATGTAGCACTGGAACACAGAGGAGGCTGGCCTTGAACTCACAAAGATCTGCCTGCCTCTGCCCTTCAAGTGCTGGGATTAGAGGTGTACATCACTACGCTTGGTTCAACATTGATATTAATTTTTTTAAAGATTCATTTACTTATTTTCTGTATGTGAGTACACTATTGCTCTCGTAATGTTTCAATTGGGATAGTGTCCCCACCCTTTCTTTGAGACAGGGCTTTACTCTATAGTCCTGGGCGGCCTAGAACTCTGTATGTAGACTGGGCTGGCCTTAAACACTTAGAAATTGTTACTCTCTGTCTCCTGAGTGCTGGGATAAAAGGCATGCACCATCATCCTGGCAAGATCTGATTTTCTAATGTGTAGACTTACAGTAATAATTTATTTGAGAATTTTACACATGCATATGATATTTTTATCACATTTGTCTCCCACTTTTTCAGCTTGTCCTTATGTCCCACCTTGAACTTAACATGTTTTTTAAGTAGCCCACTGAATTCAGTTTATATGTTTTTCACATACAAGTGGATGTGGGGCCATCCACTGAAGCGTAGTCCACAGTCCTAAGAAAAGTGATTCTCCTTTACTTAGCATGAACAACTGTCAGTAGCTCTTCAGGTAGGGGAGGAGGCTCATGTGCCTCATCCCCAAAGGTTCTCCTTTTGAAGCAAAGTCTCATAGCCCATGCTGGCTTCAGACTCATAATGTAGAGGAGTATGAGATGACCTTAAACTCATTCTTTCCCTCTGCTGGAGTTACAGGTATGTGTCAACACGCCTGGTTTTGTCCCTACCCAAGTGCAAGAGAAGCTGAGTAGAGTCTCTTGGTGTGCCCTGGGAAAATACATTAATTTGGCGAAGAGTGATCCCTGTTGATAATTCAGTAGTGGAGAAGACTTTCTACGTAATCTAGAGAGAGTGGAGGAGGTCCAGGGCAGAACCTATAGAAAGCTGGTATCTAGAAGTTGGGTAGAGGATAAAAGAGAGATCAAAGGAATGGATGAAGAAGGGCTGGAAGGTGTTCGGTGAGTGGGAGACAGTAAAAATCTGATATCCACTGTATTCTAGGTATCAAGAGGATCATAGCTTCTGGACCAGTGTGTACTGCATAGTGAGACCCTATCTCAAAAAAACTAAAGCCAGGGATTGAGGTGGGGAAGAAGCTCAAACCCTTTATGTCTTGTGTGATGGAAGGCAAGAAAGTTTTTCAGGAAGGAGGTCGTTGAGTACATGAAATGCTGCAGAGATGTTAAGATGCTGTAGTTGTTGACAACTGTGAGAAGTATTTTTTTCTGCTTCCCAGGATGTAATCACCTTAGGAAGGAGAGGGATTTAAAGGTGTGGGGAGAGAATTCTAATTAGACTGCATGAGAACTAGACATTAGTTGTGAATTAGGTATAGTTAGGAACAGATGAAGTCATTACAGTTTTGTCTACATGTACAAATAAATATTTGTATTCATTTTTTCTCTGTTTTTGGAGTCAAAGTTTCAATATTTAGCTCAGGATGGCATGAAACTTGATATATAGACCAGTCTGACCATGAACTCAAAGAGATCTGCCTGCCTCTGCTTCTCAAATGCTGAGGTTAAAGGAGTGCCCTACTATGTCTGGTGGGCTGTAGATGTGGCTTAGTAGTAGAGCACTTGCCCCGGATATATAAGGGAAGAAAGAAAGAAAAAAGAAAAAGGTGTGAGAACGGAAAATGAAGCACAGTCAGGGAGAGTGAGTTTGAGTCTTATTCTTTTCTGATCATGTCTGATCAAGGTTCTAAATGTGTCTTGTGTCTCAGTGTCATTTTCCCCAGCTTTGGAAATACTCTGCTAGTGTTTCTACTGCCTCCTAGTAACTCAGTTAAGAATCTGTGGATGAGTGAATCTGTTGATGAAGTCAGAGCTATCATTATCCAGTCACCTCCCAGATGTTGTGTCTGTGAACATTGCCACATTATGGAATAAACCTTCAACACTGGAAGTTTGGGAGAGATTTAAGACCTACAAATCAATTGTAATGTAATCCCAGCATTGGGTACTGATCTCTGAGTTGAAGGCCAGCCTGGTCTACAGAGCTAGTTCTAGAACCCAGTAAGTGAGTCAGGAGAATCATTGCTTGTTTAAAGCTACATTATCTATATAGTTGTAGCATGAGCTACATTGTGAGACACTGTCTTAAAAAGCCAAGTAAAAGTCTGAACTATGACAAATAGGTATTTAAAAAATGCTTATTTAAGGTGATTTCCTTAGGCTTAAACAGTTTTTTTTTTTTTAAAGCCACCAAACAAACCATATGTCTTTAGCAAGTGATTTTGGTTAATATCATCATCTTAACATGATAACAGCTTCCCCATGATCTTTCCTGAGATGTGGGTAAGCTTCAAAGATGAATATACTTAACTACCCCACATATGACTAGGGCTGGGGATGTAGTAGATAGAGTACTTGCTTAGTATGCACACAGCCCTGTCTTTTAGCACTAGCATTGCATTGAGACCAGTTCTGTTGCGGGAATACCTGTTACCCCAGCATTTTGAAAACAGAGGTAGGAGAACCAGGAGTTCAGGGTTATCCCCAACTACATAGCAAGTTTGAGTCTAAACTTGGTAGACTCTGCTTCAAATTATGACAAATAAACAAAACAACAACAACAACAACAGAAAATCCCCAGATACCAAAGCCATGGAATTAGAAACTTAAATTAAGTGAGTTAAACTGGGTGTGTTGGCATGTATGTATATTCCAGCTTTTGAGAGGTTGAGATATTATGTGAGTCTGCTTCCTGGGTAGATATGGACAAATGTTTATTCACCCCAGCTAGGGAAATGACAATAGACAAGAAATAAGGAGCTACCAGAATCCAACTTGGTGAGCCAGTGAGTTTTATTGAAGTTATTGCTTACAGGACCAGATGACCAGTGGTTTAAAGTTCGGATTCTTTAAAAGAAAAAAAAAAAGATTTCTTTATGTTTTATATGTACGTGTGAAAGCCTGCATAAGTTTATGTGCACCACATGTGTGCAGGAGTTTGTGGAGGCCAGAAGAAGGTTCCCGTGGAACTGAAGTCACATGTGCTTGTGAACCACTGTATGAGTGCTGGGAATTAAACCCAGATCCTCTGTCAGCTACGCCATCTCTTCAGTCCCAAGTTTACATTCTTTATCAAAGTTTCATTCATTGGTAATTTTCCTTTATTCATATCATAAAATTTTAGAATTAACTCAAAGTAATCTGTGCTTTAAAGTAGTCTTTTAAAGTACTCTTTAGAGTGAACGTATATTAGGAGTAGTTGCATTTTTAATTTTGTTTTTCCTTTTAAGCTATTAACAAATTGAGGGTGGGATGTAGCTCATTTAGTATGACTTGCTTACCATCAGGAATCCTTGGGTTCCATATCAAGTACTACATACAACTAGGCATGGTGGTATGAAAGAATCAGAAATTTTTTCCTAGACAGGGCTTCTCTGTCCTGAAACTAGCTCTGTGGACCAGACTGGCCTTGAATTCAGAAATCTGCTTGCCTCTGCCTCCCGAGGGCCAGAAAGGCATGTGTCATCACTGCTCAGCTGAGAATCAGTAATTTAAAGTCATCCTGAAGTACGCATTGAGTCTGAGGCCAGCCTAGCGTATGTGAGACTGTGCCTTATTATTTTAAGAAGGCAGCTTTGGAAAAGCAAATCACAGAATGAATTTATTTATTTATTTCTTTATTTTTTATTTTTGGTTTTTCGAGACAGGGTTTGTCTGTCTATCTCTGGCTGTCCTGGAACTCACTCTGTAGACCAGGCTGGCCTCAAACTCAGAAATCCGCCTGCCTCTGCCTCCCAAGTGCTGGGATTAAAGGTATGCACCACCACTGCCCAGCAAGTCACAGAATTTTAGTCCTTTAAATAATGAAAATTATTATTTACTTTAATGTTTAGGAAGATTCTTACCTCTGAAGACGATGCTGGGGCCAAGATATGATAGTCAAGTTGCTGAAGAAAACCGGTTCCATCCCAGTATGCTCTCAAATTATCTAAAGAGTCTGAAGGTAAGAAGCAAAGCTCTTTGCTACTCTTGTAGTACTCCCTCCCCTCTTGGTTTTGTTCTAGGGCTTTTCTGTAAGTGAGGGGTATGTGTGTGCACATGAACACAGAGGCCAGAAGAAAGTCTTAGGTATGGTCCTCAGGCACCGTTCACTTTTTGGTTTTTTGAGACAAGATTTTTTTCATTGATAGATTCCTTTCATGTATGTATATATTTTTGGACACTTCTACGATAGTAGGTTTCTATATGATATTTGAAATGGCCTTTAATGTTAGTTGTCTCTCCCTGTATTCCCTCCTTTTCTCTTATTTCCTCTCCTCCTCCCTATTTAATTCTCTGGTTCTAGTTTCTCTTTTATTTTTCCATAACACTATATTCTATCTTCCCTTCTTTGGGAGGGTTTCTCCTCCTCACTAGTCCCTTACTAGGTACCTATCTCTGTGGTTATTCAAATTGTAGCACACATATTGAAAGCTTAAAGCAAATAACTGCATTAGAAGAGAACAGCATACAGTAGTTGTCTTTTTGGGTCTGGGTCACCTCACTCATGTTGAATTATTCTAGCTCCACCCATTTACCTGCCAATTTCATTTTTCTAAATAGCTGAATAATATTCCATTGTGTAATTGTACCACTTTTCATGATTCAGTCATCAATTGATGGACATGTAGGCTATTTCCAGTTTCTGGCTGTTTATGAGTAGAACAGAACTGAACATGGATGAGTAAGTCTCTGTAAGAGGATGTAGAGCTCTGTAGTTATATGTTTAAGAGTAATATGGGTTTTAAGATAGATCGATTCCCAGATTCCTGAGGAATTGCCACACTGATTCCTGTAGTGATTGTTGCAGTTTACGTTACCTCAGCAATGGATAAGTATTACCCTTTCCCAGTGTCCTCACCAGCATTAGTTTTATTGATCTTGGCCATTCTGACTGATGTAACATGAAATCTCAGTCATTTTAATTTGCATTTTCCTCATGACTAAGGATGTTGAGCATTTCTTCTACTGTTTCTCAGCCATTTTTATTTTATCTTTTGAGAACTTTATACTTAATTCTGTACCCCCATTTTTAAATTGATTTCTTTTCTTGATGTTCATTTATTTAAATTCTTTATGTATTCTACATACGAATCCTCTATCAGATGTTTAATTGCTAAAGATCTTTTCCCACTCCATAGCCTACTACCCTGTCCTGAATGATAGTATTCTTTACAACACAGAACTTTTCAGCTTCATGAGGTCCCATTTATTAATTGTTATTCTTAGTGCCTGTGCTGTTGGTGTCTCTTTTCTGTGTAAATGAGTTCAAGCCTATTGCCAACTTTTTCTTCTATTAGATTTATGGTATATGGTCTGTGTTGAGGTCTTTAATCTATTTTGAGTTGTGTTTTGTGCCGGGTAATAGATAATAGTTCCATTTGCATTCTCTTATGCGAGACTGTGCAGTATGACCAACAACATTTGTTGATGATGCTATCTTTTCTCTTTTGTATATTTTTGGCTTTGTTTTTTTTTTTTTTTAAAGATCAGATTCCCATTGGCATGTAGAAATATGCCTGGGTCTTTAATTCCATTGTTCAATTTGTCTGTTTTTATGCCAATACCATGCTGTTTTTATTACAATAGCTCTGTAGTACAGTTTGAGATAGAGGATGGTGTTAACTCCAGGAGTGCTTTTATTCAGGATTATTTTAGTTACCCTGTTTCTTTTCTTTTTATCTTTTTTTCTTGTATATGTTTATATGTGTGATTCCAAATGGAATTTATTGTTTTTTCAATTTCGGTGAAAAATTGTGTTGTAATTTTGGTGGGGATTGCATTGAACATGTAGACTGCTTTTGGTAGGATGGCTACTTTCATAATATTAATTCTCCTGATCCATGAACACAGAAGATCTTTCCATCTTCTGATGTCTTCCTCATTTTCTTTCTTCAGTGTCATAAAATTTTAATTGTACAAGTTTTTCACTTGTTCAGTTTATATATGTGTGCGCGTGTGTGTGTGTGTGCATGCACACAGACACACACAGACACACACACACATTTTGAAGCTATTGTGAAAGGTACTGTTTCCTTGATTTCTTTCTCAGTGTATCTGTCATTAATATGTAGGAAGGTTACTGATTTTTTGTGAGTTAATTTTGTATACTGCTACTGTGCTGAAAGTGTTTTTCAGCAGTGAATGCTTCCTGGTGGAGTCTAGAGGATTTTTTTAATATTAAATCATATCTTCTGCAAATAAGAATACCCCTACTTCGCCCTTTCCATGTGTTACCCCTGGATCTCCTTCTGTTGTCTTATTGTCTAGTGAAGACTTTCCAGTGCTGTATGAAATAGGTAAGAGAGTGAATACCCTTGTCTTGTTCTCTCTGTTTATGTTGGTGTTGATGTTGGCTTGCTGTATGTCATTTTTTGTTGTTTTTAAATCCCCTCTAGACAAGGTTTCTTTGTGTGTCCCTGACAGATCTGGAACTTCTTGCAGACCAGGCTGTCCTTGAATTTAGAGATTTGCCTGCCTCTGCCTCAAGTGCTGGGGTTTGTATGTCCCTTTTATCACTTGTCTCTCCTGAACTTTTATGGTAAAGGCATGCTGGATTTTGTCAAAAGCCTTTTCTGCATCTGATCATGTGGCTTTGAGTTTCTATTTGTTTAAGTGGTGGACTTACACTCATAGATTTGTACCAAAGGGCAGGTCACCCAATCCACTTTCAGTTGCCTTAGTTATATTTTCTTGCTATTCTTACAAATTATGTATAATAGAATATTGTGGAGGATACATGAACTTTTTCTGGAGCTCAGTTCAGGAATAAATTTCTTCTTTCTCTTTCCTCTCTATTCAATTTTTTTATTTTATGGATTTTTTGGACAGGGTCTCATGTGGTTCAGTCAGTGCCTAAAGTTGCTGTATAGCTGAGGATGACCTTGAAATCCTGTTTCTCCTCTGTCCGAATCCTGTGTACTAGGCTTTGAAACTACATTAAAAAAAAAACAACAGCAACCCATTTACATTATATATGGTTCTCGATTTTATTGAAAATGAAGTTAGGATTTTAATCTATTTTCAAACCCTTAACTTGTTTCTTTCTGATATCCAGGAAGAGAGATATACGTGCAGAGGACAGAGGTTGATGTCTGATGTCCTCCTCTGTCAGTCTCCAACTTATTTTTTTGAGACAAGGTCCTTCACTGAACCTGGAGCTTGCTGCTTTGGCTAGACTTAGCTGGACAACAAAGCCCCGAGGATCATCCTGTCTCCACCTCCCAGCTCGGGGATTACAGGTGTGTGTTACCACACCTGCCTTTTGAAGTGGGTGCTAGGGATCCGAACTCAGGTTCTCATGCTTGCAGAGCAAGCACTTTGCCCACTGAGCCATCACCTCAGCTTGGAAATTGCATAAAAGAATTGCCTAAGAGTCTGTTTTCATCCCCTCACCCCACTGTGTAGCCCTGGCTGTCCTAGCACTTGCTCTGTAGACTAGGCTAGCCTCAAACTCAAGAGTTCTGCCTGCCTCTGACTCATGAGTGCTGGGATTGAAGATGTGTGTTACCACACTTGGGTTCTGTTTTGGTTTTTTACTGTGCTTCTTTAAAGGGAATATAGCTCTAGGCATTAGTGTATTTTCATAAAATAGAAGAATTAAGTAGAAAAGAAACACATTTATGGCATAAATGACTTCTTACCTATTTTAAGGCTGAGATATAGTATAGTGAATATATACATAGGGGTTGTGGTGGCTACTTCAGACCTGGGGTGATGTGTGTCTGGAGCTAGAGCTGTGCTCTTTCAGAATAATGTGGTCGGCTTCTAAGCTTCAGGCCTCTGAAGAGAGATTTAGGTATAGATATCAATATCAGAGATTTACTCCAGAGATAGATAAGAGAGAAATGTGGCCATGTTTTCCTCTTTGAATTCCCATTTGGAATGGAGAGAGTGGGAATATGTTTTGCTTATACTTTCTGCCCTTCTTAGCTTAGGGTTCTTTTTCAGTGCCTGCTTAGATCTTATGTCTGGAATGCTTGGATTCTTAGTTTAGATGGTGCTTTTCATTGTCAGCTGCTTGATAGCAGTGAGCATGCCTTTTCTCTCGGTGGGGTGGATGAGCTCTAGTCTTGACTCTTACTCATCTTGTTTGGAATAACTGTAGTAACTAGCAAATCTGCTTTTTTTTTTTAAAGGTTAAAATGAGCTTGTTAGTGGATCTGACAAATACTTCAAGGTTTTATGACAGAAATGACATAGAAAAAGAAGGAATCAAGTATATCAAACTTCAGTGTAAAGGGTAAGGTATAAGTTATTGAGAGTGAAAGCTTTCATTGAGGTTGGAATCTCTTTTCAAAGCAGCTTCTTTCTGTGTTCTCAGACATGGTGAATGCCCCACTACTGAGAACACTGAGACGTTCATTCGCCTGTGTGAGAAGTTTAATGAAAGAAGCCCACCTGAACTTATAGGTATGTTGTTTTCCTTAGGACAGTTCCGTTGGTTTTTATTTTTTTGTTTGTTTTTTGTTATAGAAATTCACAAACATAAGTAAAATAAAGCTCCGTATGTAAGTAAAATGAAACCTTATATAATAGTAATACTATTTTGCTGATGATATTTTCATTTTTCCACTCATTTTTAGTATTTATTTTTGTTATTAGTTTTAATTAGTTAGTTGGTATATATTGTATGTGCATGTTTATATGAAGGTGTGTATTTGCGGAGATCAAGACAGGAGGTCTCTCACTAATCTGGAGCATATCAGTTTGGCTGGAGTAGCTGGCCACTGAGCAGGGATCTGGCTGTCTTTATCCCCTAGTGCTGGGTTTAGAGATGTTATGTTGTACCCAGCTTTTAAATTGGTGCTTGGGATCTGAACTCATGCCTGTGTGGCAGAGAATTTTCTGACTGATTCATCTTCCCTGCCATTTTTTTGTGTATTTTAAAGGAAATCCTAGATATCATGTCATTTCACTATTTTTAGTGTCTAATTGTTAAGGCATTTTTGTTTTTATATAATCACCATGCAATTAGTATGTGAAACAGAATACTTAAGAATTCCTTAATGTCAACTAAAACCAGTCCTCTTTTGGATTTCCTCACTTCATCTAAACTATCTTTTTAAATTTTGGTGTTTTGGGACAGGGTGTGGGACGACCTGGTTTCCACATACATACACACAGAAAAAGGAAAAAAAAAACTGTAGCAACTAGATATTTCCTGTGTACAGTGAAACATACAGAGCCATCTGTACAATATTCCTGTCTAAAGTGCTAGGATCAGGAATGCATCAGGAAATGAATTTAGTTATATTTCTAGTTTCAATTCATGGGGTATATAGTAGATAAAGAAACAGTTTATAGGTTGAGCATCCGTACTCTGAAAATCCCAAATCCAGCATGCTTCGAAACCACAAACCTTTTGAATATAGTTATAACACCACAAATAGGAAACTCCACACTGTGAGGCTGTGGTTAAAGTTCTGTAAGAGTAGTTCTACAATATTACTTTCAGGCTAGGTTTATATAAAACATAAACATAAAACATGTTTAGATGTGAATTATATCCCCAAAATAAATTTTCCAAAATGGAAGGAAAACCACCTCTAAGACATAAAATACTCTGCTCTCAAGTAGCTTGTGTAAGCTGTGATTAATACCATGGCAAAGCAAGCAGAGGAATTTAGGGTGTAGAGTATTTTACAAGAAAATGACTTGTTTCTCTAAGAAACTTATGTAGACATTGTTAAATTGTGTTTTGAAAAACTAATGTTAGAAAGGCATTGTTGGCCTGGGTATGGTGGTATACTGCTTTGATTCTATGCCAGCATTCAGGAAGCAGAAGCAGGGCAATCACTATGAGTTTGAGGCTAACCTGATCTACATAGCAATTCTTGGCCATCTAAGTCTATATAAAGAGACCCCTGTCTCAAAGAAAAGAGAAGAGAAGAGAAAAAGAGGAGGGGAGGGGAGGAGAGGAGAGGGGAGGGGAGAGGAGGGGAGGGGAAGGGAAGGGAGGGGAAGGGAAGGGAAGGGAAGGGAAAGGAAGAGAAAGAGTGACTATAAGTACAGATAGACTGTCAGGCTTGCAGCCAGGCCTTTTATCTCTGGCCTGTTGGATCATCTCACTGGCCCCTAGAGGGTTTGTTGAACTGTATTTGGCATTTACTTTCTTAGGATATTCCATGCCACTGATTGATTTATAGTTTGCCATATGTGCTTTCTGATTACTATATTTACATTTGAAGATATACTTACTAGCTGTACTTTCTTTGTGTCCTTATTTATTGAGAATTGTTCTTATAAAAGATTTATTAATATTGATTATGCTAAGGAGGTAGGAATGATTGATTTTGCTCAACTAATAGTCATTTTATGTAACAAAAACACGTTTATAGAGAAATCTTACATGTAGAAATGAGATGAAAATGATATTACTTTATTCAGGTTTTTGAGATAGGCTCTTTGTAGCCTATGCTGGCCTGGAACTCAGGATCATTTTCTTCTACTTCCTGAGGACTGGGATTATGAGAATGCACCATAATGCTGGAGGTTGACACTTTGTGTGTGTGTGTGGGTGCCCATGTCCCACAGCAAGTATGTTGGAGTCAGAGGGGGTCAGAGGGCATTTTCAGGAGTTGGTTCTCTCCTTCTACCATGTGGATTATGGAGACTAAAATCTGGTTGACAGGCTTTGTGGCAAACACCTTTTCCTGTTGAGCCATCTTGCCACCACCTTTAAAATTGTGATGTGGCTTTGTGCCTTAGACTGGCCTCAATCTCACCAAACTCCTGCTTCATTCTCCTGAATAGTCAGGTTATTGGTGTGGGGTACCACACCTGGCTTCTGTGAGAATTCATTTTGAGTCTGCAGGAGAGTCAGTTGATCTGACAGTAATGTTTATATTGGTAATGTCCATAGAACTTTTAATTACTATTTTAAAGACCCTTGTATTTTGTTTCGTGCTAATAGACATGGTCATATATCCTGGAGTGGTATCATGCTTGGACTAGTCCTGCCTCAGCCTCTCGAGTGCTGGAATGAAAAGTGGGATGAAAACTCAAAACTGTTCAATGAGCACTTCCATTCCCCTCCCCCTCCCTCTTTCTGTTTCCCCTTCTTTCTTCCTTCCCCTCTTTCCTTTTGAGACAGGGTCTCCTGTAGTGTTGATTGCTGTATAGCTAAAGATGACCTTGAATTTCTGATTCTCCTCCTTATATTTCCTAATGCTTTGATTACAGGGTGTATTGCCATACCCAGGAAGATGATCTTGAATATATTCTGAAAGAGGGTTTAAGAAAAATAAATTTATTTTTTCCATGTTTCTTTCTTGTAAAAATTTATTTTAAAATACTATAAACTCCATTCGAAGACAAACTCAGTTGGTTTCTAAAGCCCTTTCAAAATAGTGCACACCAATTATTCAATCAGTTGTCTGCAGCAATCTTAGTGTTCTATTGCTGTGAAGAGACACTATGACCATGGCAACTCTGTTATAAAGGAAAACATTTAATTGGGGGTGGCTTTCAGGTTCAGTGGCTTAGTCCATTATTGTCATGGTGAGAAGCATGACAGTATGCAGGCAGACATGGTTCTGGAGAGGGGGCTGAGAGTCCTGCATCCGAACCCACAGGTGGCAGAGAAAGACATTGGGCCTGCTTGACCTTCTGAAGCCTCAAAGGCCTAGTGATATACCTACTCCAAAAGGCCACAACTCCTATTCCTTTTAAATAATGTCACTCTCTGTGAGCCTGTGGGGGCCAGTTTCTTTTAGACCACCGCACTTAGGTGATTACAGTCAACTGTTGTCAATCCTCAGATAATTTTATACACACTTTTTTTTTTCCCAGTCTGGTTTAGACTTTCTTTTCCAGTATAGTTTGACTGTATTTCACATTGATCATAAAGACAGCTGGAAAAACTAGACCAAAAATTCTGGAATATAGGTGTCTTGTATTTGTGTGTCTTTCCTTTCGGAGTTGTGTGTTTGAAACTCAAAATCTTGAAAAATTTTAATGACAAATTTTAGACAGTAGATAGTTAAACTAATAAAACAGTGTGTTAGTTTTGAATTTCTGTCTAGTACTCTGTTAGATTCTAAGCAACCTAGATTGACAAACTATTAAGTTATAAGGAATATTTTGAGTTTTTAAAATGTATGAATATGTAGTGTCCTTAAGTAACTGAAATGTTTTAAAGGCAAGTTTAATTTTAAACTTGCATAGCTTTTGAAGTGATTCAGTTTAACAAAAAGCTATTTTCTCTTCTAGGTGTTCACTGCACCCATGGCTTCAACCGTACTGGTTTCCTTATATGTGCCTTTTTGGTGGAAAAAATGGATTGGAGGTATATTATGTAGTGTTATTATAGTGGAAGAAGATGCATGTAACAATTGATGATGCTTATGAATCCTATAGATGATGTACTTTTCCATATTTTTCTTGTATTTTGGAATCATCAGAGATTGGATCTTCCAATGTTTGTATTTGTATTCAGCTTTGGAAACATCTGTTGTTTTCCTTTAAAATTTGTCTTCTCTAGCTGTTAAGAACTAGGGAAAGCTTTAATGCTCTGTGAAGGAAGCATTTTAGGATGGCATTAATCTATTTAAACAAGTCTTGTCTTTATTGAGCATGTGATTTGTGAATTGTGTTTTCAGATTTTGAAGAATTAGATCCCCAATTACTTGAAATTCCAATGAAAGTAGAACACTGCTAACGGAATTTTCTTATTCCCACTCTAGGTCCATTGTTTATGTTTCTAAAACCTTTTACACATTAGGTCCTTTTTTGCAATTCAGTCAGGCAAATGCACATCTGATACTCAGTGGCTGTTTACTTTATGTACTTTAAAGCTTTGGCCTTTTAAAGTACTGTGCATAATAGCATCAGACTCCTATGCCAGACTTGACCAGTGGTTAGTGCTCTTACAAGATGTGTATTCTTGTTGCCTAGGTCTGTTGGTGGTTTCTGATAAACCACTGTGTTTGTTCACTTGCTGTTCACATTTTTTTGACCCAAGTTTTCTTTTAGAGACCTTTGACCTTCAATGTTTTATTAAAATGTCTTTCATTGGCTATCCATGTCTGTCATAAGCACTCACGTCAATGTGCTTTAGACATTATAGCATACCATATATTAGAATGTACCATGTGTTAGAATGTAACCATGTATTATAGTGGGCCATGTAGTATAGTGGATGATATATGTGTACCATATGTTACAGTGTACCATGGGTATATATTTTTAGAATCAGTTTATCATTGATTGAAAGCTTTGCAGGTGAAGAAAGACTTTGATTTTTCTGTTTTATAAGCCAGTTATACTTTTTGTGGTACCTTGAGTATGAGTTAATAATTGTTAAGTCTACATAAATGGACACTAGTGAAAAAATGATTGTTTTCCATAGCATTGAAGCAGCAGTTGCTACGTTTGCCCAAGCCAGACCACCAGGAATCTATAAGGGTGATTATTTGAAGGAACTTTTTCGTCGATATGGAGATATAGAAGAAGCACCACCACCACCTGTATTGCCAGATTGGTGTTTTGAAGATGAGGATGAAGAAGATGAGGATGACGATGGTAAAAAGGACTCAGAACCAGGGTCAAGTGCATCCTTTGGTAAAAGGAGAAAAGAACGGTTAAAACTGGTAATGTTGACAAATACTATAATCTTTTAAAGTTATTTTAAATTTCATTTATTTATTTATTTATTTTGTGGGTATGCGTGCTTGAATGCCTTGGTGTGGGAATGGCATAGCATGCTTGTGGAGGTCAGAGGACAACTTGTGGGAGTCAGTTATTTTTTCTTACTATGTATGTTTGGATCCTGGGGGTCAAACTCAGGTTGTCAAGCAAACTGCAAGTGCCCTTATCTGCTGAGCCACCATGGTGGCTCCCAAATACCATACTGCTCTATATTTTTGTTTAAACTAATTGTGAGATATTGACTCTGTATTAGTTAGGATTTCCATTGCTGTGAAGAGACACTGTGACCAAGGCAACTCTTATAAAGGACAACTTTTAATTGGGGCTGGCTTACAGGTTCTGAAGTTCAGTCCATTATTATCATGGCAGGAGGCACAGCAACCAATGTCCAGGCAGGCATGGCACTGGAGGAGCTAAGAGTTTTACATCTTCATCAAAGGAAGCCAGGAGCAGTCTGTCTTCCAGGCAGCTAGGAGGAAGGTCTCAAAGCCCACCCCCACAGTGACACACTTCCTTCAACAAGGCCACACCTAGTCCAACAAGAACACACCTCCTAATAGTGCTACTTTCTGGGCCAAGCATATTTGAAGAATTACCACAGGCTATATTTCTGTTATTTCTCTGCCTCCCCCCCCTTCTCTCTTTCTGTGTGTACATGTGTTGAAGAACATAATCATGGCCTCTGATTTTATGAAATTAATTTTGATTCTACCTAAGTAACTCTTGACATCATGAGGCAGGTGTGGTGATCTCTCACTATGAAATTCAGGCTGGTTTCAAATTCACAGTTCTGTCAAAGCCTTCTGAGTGCTGAGATAGGTTATAGGCGTGTCCCACTATTCCTCTCTTTTAAACTTTAGCTAGAAATCAGACTTTAAAAATTTGTCTTACAAAATTATTTATTCTTTGAGTGGAGGGGGTTTGTATATCATGAGAGTCAAAGGACAACTTGTGTGACTAATTCCTCCCAACCATCATGTGCGTCCTGGAAGCAAACTCAGGTTTTCAGGCTTGGAAACAAGTGTCTTTACTTGCTTAACCACCCTGCAGCCCAGCAATCTTATAAAGGCTGGAGTTATGAAGTTTCATTCTGGGTTTGTTTCTTATGTAAATCAAAGAACTGTTAGATGTTATACTGAGATTAGCTTATAAACTACTAAATACATATAGGGCTAATAATAAACTTGGCATATTACTTAGTAACCAGTGAGAATGTTTTTACAAAATAGTCACACAGTTAATGTAACTATTCCTCGCCATAGGTGGTGTTTCCTTTGTACCACATAGAATTTAGAAAACGTCCACTTCTCTAGTCAACTTTTCCTACTCTTCTAGCAATAAAAGTCTGATTAAATAGTAGGAGTTGGGTTGTGGCTTCCACTAAGTTGGTATAATACTTGCCAAGCATGCATGAAAATTGGGATCATTCTCTAGCACTGTATAAATGTTACATAGTGAAGTGTGCTGATACCAGGATTCAGGAGTTCAAAGCCATCCTCTGTTACATAGTTGCAGGTGAGGGTGGGATACTTGAGATCCTATGTTTAATAAAAAGTGGTAGAGTTGAGTTATCCTCCTCTTTCCTGAAGGGGAAGAGATCTTTTGAGAGGACCAGTACTCTTTGACTTGTACATAGACCTACTTGGAGTAGACCAAAGGGAAAGTTACAGAATTGTGAAGTAAATGAAGTTTTAATGAAGTCAGTAATTAAGATACATTGTGGTTGGCCAGTAGGCCCTATAACTTATGTATTAGTTGATAGTGGTTCACCAACAAGTAGAGGGGGAAATGCCTTGACTGTTTTATATAAATAATATAGCTGTTACTTTAGTTTTTTTCTTTAAATTCTTAGTTGGAAAACTTAATTGTGTTTATACATTTCCAGCTTGAAGACTATAAGGCCACTGGCTAGTGTACATTGCATCAAAAGAGAAAAATTTTCACAATAAACTCATTGTTAAGCTAGTGAGGTGATCATTCAGTTAGTACTTACACAGATGTGAGGACTGGAGCTCTCTCCCAGCACCATGTAAAAAGCCAAGCAGACAAACACTTGAACATGAAATTTAAAAAGTGGGGTTGGAGAGATGGCTCATCAGTTAAGAACATTTACTACTATTGTAGGGGACCCAGGTTTAGTTCCTAGCACCCACATGGCAGTTCACAACTGTTACATAACTTTAGTTCCAGGGAATCTGATGCATAGTGCACATATATGTATGCAGACAAACACGCACACATACATACATGTATTCATAAAGCCATTCTTAGTAGTGCATATCTGTGGGTTCATGGGCTTGGGAGAAAGAATTCTGGGTTTTGCTGGCCAGCCATTCTTTCTCAATTGGCAAACTCTTTAAGTTCAGTGACAAACTGCCTCAAAAGATGATAGAAGGCTGGAGAGATGGCTCAGCTGGTAAAAGTTTTGGCTCCTGGCATCCATGCAAGACCTGAGTATGTCAGTGAACATTTCCATTTATAATCCCAGAGCTGAGGGTGCAGAGACAGGTGGATTTCTGGAGCTCATTTGCTGGCCAGCCTAACATAATTGATGAGTTCCGATTCAATGAGAAATCATGTCTTAGAATATAAGGTAGATAGCAATTGATGAAGAGAGCCATAATTCTTTTGTCCTCACATGTAGACAAACATATATATATATATTTTATACACACATATACATATATATAACTCATGACTTCTGTGTATGTCTGCTATCACCTATACCTCTCCCCCCAATGATTGAATCAAACCTGTCTTCCACATGCATGCACACATAAGTACATATTCCCACACCAAATATGTGTATGTAGCTACTTACCCCTTTTAAAAAATATTTACTTATCTAGTTGTGTGGCCTACACATTTATATACTCACATGCATAGCCACCTTCAGGCAGAGCATGCATGCAAACACACACACACACACACACATATACACTTTCCTTACAAATATATACATAAATACGTATATAGGTATGTAGTTGCTTACTCCTTCTTAAAAACATTTAATTGTATGTGTGCATATGTGTGGACATGTATGCACATCCATGTCACACTTTTAGAAGGTCAGAGGAAACTTGGAAGCATATCCTAGGGATCAAACTCATGTCTTTAGGCTTGTTTGAAAGGGCCTTTACGCCTGAGCCACCTCATGTGCCCTGTTTGCCCAGACTGGTCTGGATTTGATCTGTCTTCTTAGTGCTTTGATTATAGTCACGTTTCACTCTGTCTGGCTTTTCAAATACACTTTTAAAAAGCGACATTAATTTGAGCATATATAACTAACAAGATCATTTTATTTTTTTAAAAAAATTAAAAGTTACTGGTTTGCACAATGAGATAATGAGATACAACTGGAAGGTTTATTTCTATATCTTTGCCAGTGGAAAGAACCTTAAAAGATACACCAAGGGACTGATAGAGTGCTTGATTAGCATTTGTAACATCCTTGGGTGTGTTTCTTTTTAAAGCAGATTTGGGGTTTAGTTAAATATAACAGACACATGATTTTTGATAAAGAAGTCAGAGACATTCAATGGAAAACAGAAAGCATCTTCAATAAATGGTGCTGGTCTGTCTGGATGTTGGCATGTAGAAGGGTGCAGATAGATCCCTATCTATCACCCTGCACAAAATTCAAGTCCAAGTGTATCAAAGACCTCAACATAAAACCAGATATATTAAATCTAATAGAAGAGAAAGTGGGGAATGCATTCTCTTGACTGTATTGGCACAGGAGACCACTTTCTCATGCTGTTGACATCAACAATTGAGAAATGGGACCTCATGAAAGGCTGAAAAACCTTCTGTAAGGCAATAGGAAAAAAATAGCAGAACAGAGGATGGGAAATCATTTTTTTTTAACTCCACATAAGACAGAGGGCTAATATCCAAAATATATAAAGAACTCAAGAAACTAGATATCAACAAATCAAATAATCCAATTAAAAATGGGACACAGATCTAAACAGAGAATTCTTAGCAGAGTAATCTCATATGGCTAAGAAACACTTAAAATCCTTAGTCATCAGGGAAATGTAAATCAAAACTTACTTTGAGTTTTCATCTTACACCTGTCAGAATGGCTAAGATCAAAAACACAAGTGATGGCTCATGCTGTTGAGGATATGGAGCAAGGAGAACCCTCCTCCATTGTTGATGGGAGTGATAACTTGTTTAGCCACTTTGGAAATCAATATGGCAGTTTCTCTGAAAACTGAAAGTGGATCTACCTCGAGATCTAGCCATACCACTCTTGGGCATATACCTAAAGGACTTTCCATTCTACCACAAGGAGACTTGCTCAGCTATGTCTATAGCTGCTTTATTCATAATCACCAGAAACTGGAAACAATCTAGATGACCCTCAACCAAAGAATAGGTAAAGAAAATTGTTGTTCATTTACACAATGGAGTATTACTCAGCAGTTAAAAACAATGACATAAAATTTGCAGGTAAATGGATGGAACTAGAAAAAGTCATCCTAAGTGAGGTAAAACCTAGACCCAGAAAAACATGGTGTGTGTGTGTACTCACTTTTAAGTGGATATTAGCTGTAAAGTAAATGGTAATCATGCTACAATCCACAGACCCAGAGAGGCTAAGTCATGAGGAGGGCTCAAGGAGAGATGCATGAATCTCCTTGAGAAGGGGAAATAGAATAAATTTTGAGGGTGGACTGGGTGTTGGGATGAGAATGGGAGGGGTTGGAAGTGGAGATGGAAGAAGAGAACACTCAGAGATGATGGAATTAGGGGGTATTTTAGTGGCAAGGTACAAACAGTGAGTGCAGTGGAAACTCCCTGGAATCTATGAGGATGACTCTAGTGAAGATTCCTAGTTATGGGGGCTATGGAACCTGAACTGACCATCTTCTGTGACCAAAGCTTCAGTGGAGGGATTGGGACACCAACCCTGCCACAAAAACCTTTGGCTTACAATTTACCTTGCCTACAAGATGTACTGGGGTAAAGGTGGCACAGAACTTGTGGGAGTGGCCAACCAATGACTGGTTCATAGATTCCAGGGAGTTTGCCTAGCATAATTATCATTATAGAGGCTTCATCCAGCAACTGATGGGAGCAAATGCAGAGACCTACAGCCAAATATCAGGAGGAGAGTGGGAATTCTATGGAAGATGGGGAGGAAGGATTGTGCGAGCCAGAGCGTTCAAGGACACCACCAGAAAACCCACAGAATCAACTAAGCAGGGCTCATAGTGTCTCAAAAAGACAGAATGGACAACCAGGGAGCCTATGTAGTAGGTCTGACCCAGAACCTCTGCATATATGTTATGGTTGTGTAACTTGGTGTTCTTTGAGGGCCGTTTCCAACTCTGGTCTGCCTTTGGGACTCTTTTTCTCCTGCTGGATTACCTTGTCCAGCCTTGATACAAGGGTATGTGCCTAGTCTTACTGTAACTTGATGTGCCATATTTGGTTGATATCCCTGGAAGGCCTGCTCTTGTCTGAAGGGAAACAGGAAGAGTGGATCTTGGGGAGTGGAAGGGACTTGGTGGAGAGGAGGGAGAGGATGTAATAGAGAAGAAAAAACGTATTTTAATATTGACTTTAAGCATGATTGTTAAGAGAGAGGGTTTCGGGCACAAAGCACAGCAGGCCATATTTAAGATAGTTTTACAGGGATATTGACATAACTTGGGTATTCTCAGTAACTACATTATAGGTCTTTATTACAGAGCTTTGCTTTCAGAATTTATTTTCATTATTTAGTTTTTAATGCTAGAAACAGCCTTATAAAGAACTAATTTTTTAAAGTTCTTTTTAGATAGTCTGTCAGTATATAGCTTAGCTTGCCTCAGATTTACTGTGTAGCCCAGGCTGGTCTTGAACCTGTGAACTTCCTGCCTCAGCTACCATAGTGCTGGAATGACAGTTAGGCATCACCACAGCTGATATTAGAAGTGTATTTTCTTTTTTCAGATTTATTTTATGTGTATGAGTGTTTTGCTTGCATGTATGCATGTGTACCACTTGTGTGTCTGGTGTCCATGGGGGTATGAAAGGGTGTTGGATCCCTGGACTGGAGTTGCAGATAGTTGTGAACTGCCCTGTGGGTGCTTGGAATTGAACCAGGGTCCTTCTGCAAGAACAGTCAGTGTTCTTAGCCATTGGCCTTCTCTTCAGCCCCCCACATGTGGTTTTAAGACATCAATTTTGTTGTTGTGTCAAGGTAATGGTATTACAGGGAAGCATTGGTCATCTTTGATCCTTTGGTCATGGGACCCCTAAGTTATTATTTTAAGTTAGTTTTGAAGATTTATTAGATGGTGATACATCTAATACATGTTGGCGATACATGTTGATTCAGAGTGGTTGATTCAGAGGCAGAATGTAGGATCTCTGCTGGAAAGACAGGACTCCTGTGGACCTGACAGTGTATATATTTCAATGCGCGCATGCACACACACAGAGTAATGTTCCCCTTCCCCTCCCCCCCCAATATTTTTCTTCTTCCCAAGAGCCTTGCTTGCCAAGTCTTGTCCAGAAGGTTGAACTTTGCAACTTGTAGATGAGATTTTCTTATTCTTTAATGACATTATCAACCAGAGTTGTTATGTAAAGTTTTATTGATACTAATGGCAGCAGCCCTCTGATGTACCTGAAACTAATTTAGTATACATTTAGACTAATGTTCTAGTTTTTAAAAGTATAAAAACCCAAGCCTAGAAGATTTTATAGACTTTCCTAGAGTACACCCTTGGTTTTCTTTAGCTTTGAGACTGGATCTTATTATGTAGCCTAAGGTAGCTTTAGAATTAGAATCCCTTTGCCTGAGCCCCCTCTGTAACTGGTCGGCTATAGGTGTCACTAGTACAGCAGGTGGAACAGACAATTTCTGTTCAATATGAATTTTCTTAGGTTTGTGAAAATAAATTGATTTATTTCTTCTTTGTAATATGTTTGTCTTCTAATTATATATGTATGTGTATATATTTATACATTATATATTTATTATAATTTTCTTCTCCTTTCTTTAAAGGGAGCTATTTTCTTGGAAGGCATAACTGTTAAAGGTGTAACTCAAGTAACAACTCAACCAAAGTTAGGAGAGGTACAGCAGAAATGTCATCAGTTCTGTGGCTGGGAAGGGTAAGAAATATTTTCAAGTTTTTAATGAAGTTTATTCTTTATGTAACACTTAAAGCTAATATAGACATTAATTGGGTGGTTTTGCTTCTTTAAGTTAGTGCTTAAGAGGATTTCAGGTTTTTCCAAGGAAGTCTGTAAAAGTCAGGCTGAATCAGGGTCATATGACTCAAATCTTCCTCAAGAATGCAGCATTGCTGTTGTCAGCAGTTTTTTTTCTTTGATCCCTTTGTGTCTGCTGCTGCTGACTAATGTTGGGCTGGTCTCTCCAGTGGAGAAGAACAGAGGAGGACTCCCAGTGTCGGCTTCTGCTTCTACTGTGTGTGAGGGAGCCGAGCACTCTCCTTGGCCCCATGATTTAGTATGCACGATGGACATGGCACAGTAGGTGTGTTTCAGAGTCTTAGACTTCAGAGGAAAGCTTGAGTTTCAGCTTAATGACCTTAGCAGTACTAGACCCTAAGACGCCCCAGCCTCTTCCCACTCTCCTGCTGCTGGGAGGAAAGCACGTGCCTCCAGTCTTGCCTTTCACATGGGTGCTGGCAACCCCAGTGCTTCATGTTTACATAAGAAGTATTTTAGCCACTGAGATCCCTCTCTAGTCCTATATAATGAACATTCTTAAATTAGCCCAATATTTACATCACAGCAGTGCCAATTTAGTCCATTGTAAACTTGTATTTTAAAATGTCAAGAAATTGATAAACTTTTTTTCCCCCTGAGACTATGTAGCTCTGGCTGTCTTGAAACTCACTCTGTAGACCAGGCTGGTCTTGAATTCATAAATCAACCTGCCTTTGCTTTCCTGAGTGTGGGATTAAAGGCATGCACCACTACTCCTAGCTGAGAATGATAGTCTTCTGTTAGAACTTTTGTGATAGCTGATGCTATTCTATTTGAAATTACGCTCGTGATAGGAAGAACATTGTGATCAACATGTGAGACATTTGAGATTGGTTTAACACAAGATTGCATTATACGGGTTGTAGCAATGACAGAGTAATGTTCTTTCTTTCAGGTCTGGGTTCCCTGGAGCACAGCCTGTCTCCATGGACAAGCAAAACATTAGACTTTTAGAGCAGAAGCCATATAAAGTAAGCTGGAAAGCGGATGGTACTCGGTAAGTTCCACTACTGAAAAACAATTACAGAAATAACTAATGCTTGAAGAATATTACATGGTCAGGGAAAGTGTGTTCCTTAGGATGTGAGTTTCTGACTTGAACAGCAAAATAAATGTGTTTCAGAAATTATATAGCTTTCATTTTATTGGTATTCTAAGCCGTATAAACACTTTTGGTTCATTCTGCTGAATATTTGGCTTTAGATTCTGTTAGTTTTATATAAATCTAAATGAATTTTAACAGTTTCTTGAGGTAGAATTATTTTATAGTCTAGGCTAGCCTCAAACACCCTGTGAACCTACAGCAGTCCTATTGTAGGGATTAAGGTATGAGCCATCATACCTGTTTATACTGAATGCTTACAAAGAACATTCAGTCCTCTTACCTGTCTCCTGTAAGTTTTGGGATTATAGGCATACACCACCATGCCCATATTTGGCGTCACTTTTTATTATCTTTATTTCATAATTTAGTTGCCAGTTATATCTTCCCTTATTCCATTGTTCTTACATAAACAAATATATCTTAGTAAAACTTACTTTAGGAGTCAGGGATGTAGTCAGTTGCTCCAGTACCTGCCTAGCATGGGGTAAGGCCCTCAGTTCAGTTTTTATCATTGAATAAAACTGGGAATAGTGACCGTAATCCCAACATTTGGGAGATGGTGGCTCGAGTACCAGACATTCAAGGTAGGTCATCCTCAACTGTATAACAAGTTTGAGACTCTTGTGTGTGGGGTACAGGAGATCCTGTTACAGTAGAAATCAACAACTTAACTTTATTCATAAGGCAGTAGGCTACCTTTTGGGTCATGGCGGGAGGGTTTTAATACCAGCACGAGTGTGTGTGTGCGTGTGTGCTGTGCGTGCGTGCGCACGCGCGCGTGATCGTGTTTATGTGTGGTGGTGGAGGTGATGATGGTGGTGTGGGGCAGGCAGAGGCAGGCGGAGGCAGGCGGAGGCAGGCGGATCTCTATGAATTTGAGACCAACCTGATCTACAGAGTAAGTTCCAGTACATTCAAGACTACACAGAGAAACCCTGTCTTGGAAAACAAAACAAACAAAACAAAATATAAAACAAGAAAAAAAAAAACCTACCCAAACCAATACCAACCAACCAACTAAAAACTCAACTATAAAACAGTACCACCAGCACCAGCACCACCAGCACCAGCACCACCAGCACCACCACCACCACAAAATATCAAAAACCTGATTTCTGCCAAGATGTTTATTCTTGAGGTATTGAGAATATTACCAATTCTATGTTTGTTCTAGCCATACTGATTTTTATGCCTGTCTTTTGTATCTATTACTTAGCTAACACATTTGGTAAATGTGTCTTGCTAGAGGTGGTTGTTCCATTTCTGGGTTGTGCCAGGAGTGCTTGTTTCATTTCATCACTTCTGTTTGAGGAAGTAGCCAATTTGACAATTGGAAAATGAGCTTTTCCTAAAAACAAAGCCAAATTTCACTGATGTAAATACTCATAAAACTAAAAGAATATAAGATTTACTATGACTTTTGTTTATACTTTTAAAATAGCAGCATGCCTACACAGCACTCATTATATATTTTAGTTGTAGGAACAGTTAAGACAGGTAACAGTTACTGACTTCTTACTTGATATTGGGCATTTTTCTAAGCATTTTATGCAGAACAGCTCCTTTAATTCTTAAAACTGTTTAACAGCTACTGTTATCATCCCGTCTATAACTTAGGAGAATGAACCATAGAAAGGGAGGCAGCGTTTCTGAGGCCATAGTACAATAAGCATTAAGAGTGGGTCTGGAATACAGACAAAATGGTTTTCAGCCATACAAACTGTACTGGCTGGTTTTGTGTCAACTTGACACAACCTGGAGAAAGGAGCTTCAGTTGAGGAAATGCCTCCATGAGATCCAGCTGTAAGGCATTTTCTCAATTAATGATTTAGTGGGGAGAGGATGGAGCCATCCCTGGGCTGGTAGTCCTGGGTTCTATAGGAAACCAAGCTGAACAAGCCAGGGAAAACAAGCTAGTAAATAACATCCCCCATGGCCTCTGCATCAGCTCCTGCTTCCTGACCTGCTTGAGTCCCTGTCCTGACTTTCTTTGGTGATGAACAGCAATGTGGAAGTGTAAGCTGAATAAACCCTTTCCTCCCCAACTTGCTTCTTAGTCATGATGTTTGTGCAGGAATAGAAACTCTGATTAAGACAAACTATTTTTAATTTTGGTGGTGCTAGGAATTGGATCTTGGGTCTTATGCGTGTGAGCTCTGCCACAGTATTTTCCATATTACCAAGTCATGTCTTTATTATTTGAAAAAAATTCTTTGGCTATTTTAATTTTTTATTTATTTCCTTTCAATAATGTCTACTTTATAAAAGCTCAGGTAGAAAACATCTTCCCATTTGTCTACTCTCTTAGGATAAATGGTGTTAAGAATTGGGTGTTTGTTCCTTCAGACATCATTCCTCAGTTTTTCTTCTGACTCCATTTCCCTATTTTCAGATCTTCCATGGAAATGGGAAATAAATGTTGTTCTATTATAAATGAGCTGTAGAAAAACCATGTGGGTTTTCTTCCACCTTGTTTTGTAATGTTAGTTAGAACTGCACAGTACCTTTTACTTAATGAGTGAGCAGTATCTTGTAGAAATAATATTTATTGTTCTAATGGGTAAACACTCTATCTGAAATACTGAGAGCCAGAGTGGCGTGAGACATTTACACATAAAGAATTAGATTTGCTGGGGGTGGGATTCATGGAAATGATGTTAAATGTAATTATATCCAATAATTATATACAGACTAAACAGTTTTGCAGTAGTGTGGTTTCAGATCAGTACTCCATAAGTTTCAGATGTAAGCATTTTGGATTACAGGTGTTCTGATCATCAGAGCAAAAGTTTAAATCTGTGTCTAAGAAATGTGGTAAGTTTTCTTTCTTTCTTTCTTCCTTTCTTTCTTTCTTTCTTTCTTTCTTTCTTTCTTTCTTTCTTTCTTTCTTTCTTTCTTTCT